AACAAAAAAATGAGAAAATAGAAACTCTAAATATAGAGGCGGGAATTTAGCTCAGTGGTTCCAGCACGTGCCTCGCAAGTGGCAAGGGCCCAAGTTTGATCCCCAGTACCAAAGCAAAACAAAAGCAAACTACATAGTGAGACCCTGTCTCAAAAAAATAAAAAAAGAAACTCTAAACAATATAAACAGGAAGGTAGATGTAATATCAAACTATATACCTTGATATTAGAGGTAATAGACACCTCAAATACCTATGCTACAATAAGATCAAATACTAAGTCATAAAGAAAATAGTAATTTCCATTAAGTAGAAACTTGAAAAAAAATCTGACCATAGTGCAGTAAAATCAGTAATTACTAACAAAAACAAAAGGTCCTTCCATGTGGGACTCTTAAAACCTTCTATTAAGCAACTCTTAGGTGAAAGGGAGAAATCCAAAAATTACAGATTTTTAAAAAGTGATGATAAAAATATATTTCAGACCCCTGCTCCATATTGTAAATTATATGATGAGAAGGAAGCAAACATTGTTCAACCTACGCTTTATAATTTTTGTACAGAGGAATAAAACACTTTAATTCTGAGTATTTATGTTCTAATTATTAAAATATATTAAAGTTCTACTTTTCATTTCTATGTACATTATAGTTAGCAATAGGAGTTTCTCATGTTTTGACAGAATGTTTAAAAGTCACAAAACATCATATTTTTCCATTAATTATCAAGAATGGAGGTTTGGATGCAGCTCAGTGGTAGAGCACGTGTTTTGCATGCACAAGGCCCTAGGGTTCAATCCCTAGGATTCAATCCTTTTCACGGTTTCAGCATTCATTGTCATTTTTATGGTCATATTGCTGCATAAAGTGAGTCTACCTATACTTGCACACCACTGTACAAATAAATTTGAAACCTGGATAAGACACATAACTTTCTGTGGAAACATCTTCTAAATTAACCCACAGCCATAGAGAAAGTTAGTAAGAAACTACCCCACAAAAAAAATAGCAAGTTCAGATGGCTTCAAAGGGATCAGATAGTCCAGTAATTATCAGATTATCCCAGATCCTTGGAAAGGAACAAAAGACCTAATTCCTTTTATGAAGCATGTATAACTCATAAAGATAATACAAAAAAGGGGACAGATCAGTATCACTCATGAATATGATATAAAACACTAAATATTAGAAAAAATAATGCATTACCATAGTAAGAAAATAATGCTCCATGATCAAGCATATTCACCTGAGAAATGCAAGTTTGTTTCTGTATTAGGAAATCAAATATTATACAGTGTATTAATATGTCTAAGGAAAGTTATTTCCATATATACTGAAAAATTCTTTAACAAAATGCAATACCCAGCCATGATAAAAAAATTAAAATAACAATTATAAGATACTCAACATTATAAAATATATATAGCATAGTCCTAAACCTAGTTTCCCCATCAATTTTTCACTAACTTCAGGAAGAAGACAGGCATGCCCATTGTCTCTGTTATTATTCAAAATATTAGTAAAGATATTAGCCAGTACAATAAAAAATAAGAATTAGGGCTGGGGATGTAGCTCAGTGGTAGAGTGCATGTCTAGTGTGTAGCTCAGTGGTAGAGTGCTTGTCAAGCATGTATGAGGCCCTGGTTTCATTTCCTAGTACTAGAAAAGGAAGGATGGAGGAAGGAAAGAAAAGAAAAAACCATTAGAGATATAAAACTACGTAAAGGAGATATAAAGTTCTATTTGCAGATAGGGAAGTATATCTGAAAAACCAGAAAATCAATGATCAAACTAAAACAATAAAATAAGTAGGTAGCAAGATATGAAGTAAAGATACAGAATTAGTAGATTCTATAATCAGTTTGGGACATAAATGTGCCTGGGGCATGTTGTAGTATTAGAAATTAAGCAGTTATTTTTAAAAGGATAAGGATACAGTGGTACTCAGTTCACAAACTTAATTCTTTCCATGATTCTGATTGCAAACTGAATTGGACAAAAATTGAATCAAATTTCACTATAAGGTCAACATTGAACCTAACCTTTGAATTTGATCTGGTTCTTGTCCAGTCTGGTTTGTGACAAGAATCATGGAAATAATTAAGTTCATTAACTGGGGTGCCACTATATGTCAAAACAGCATGGTGCCAATCTGAAAGAGCATTCAATGGCCAAAAGTGGGACAGTTTCGGGCTGAGGATTTAGCTCAGTGGTACCACCGCCTGCCTCACAAGTGGAAGGCTCTGAGTTCGATTCCAGATACCAAAAAAAAAAAAGTTTACGAAAATAATAAAACAGGGCTGGGGATTTAGCTCAGTGGTTCCACTGCCTGCCTCGCAAGCACAAGGACCAGAGTTCGATCCCCAGTACTGAAAAAATAATAATAAAACTGAATTATAATCCAAAGACTAAAGTGGATACCCATGAGTCTATAATGATATAAGTAAATAATTGAATAAACTAATGAGGAAGGGGTGGGTCTTAGAGAGTAATTTCTATTAATATAGAAGACAGGAAAGTAGAAAATTACATTAGGATAGCATAGTTATAAATGTTGTGAGCAAAATATCCATGATTGGACACTAAAATTAGTCTATAACAATCTGAGGAGAAATAGGATGTTTTTGATGGTTTTTTTCCTTTTTATTGAGTTTATTGGTCCAATCTAGGTATACAGTAGTTACATTCATCATTGGGATTCTGTACCTTTACATAATAGGTCTTGATTCTCATTTTTGCACCTTGTCCCTGCCCTCCCTTCACCCCCTCCTCCCCTCCCCATTTACAAACACTTTATTTCCATTTTTTCAGTTTCTCATATTTTTTTCCTCTCCCTTATTACCTTTCCCCCACCCTTCCCACTTGCACTACACCTTTAGCCCTTTACTTCCTATTTCACATTATTAATTATCTCGTTAGGATCCTGTGTACTATTATAGTTTTTCACACCAAGAAACTATTCGGTATTTCAGTTAAAGAAATCTCTGTATGTACATTAAAAATAGGGAATCCTAAAATAAAACTGAAAAGGAAAGTAAAAGAGAAAAGGCAATGATATAACATTAAAATAATCCTTAATTCTGGAGATGAAAATGGTCCCTGAACATATTTAAATTGCTTCTTGCTCTTATAGTCTTATCTTATTCTTTTTTCCATTATTTAGAGAATATTAGTTTCTGTAATCAACTCCACATGAAAAGTTTTAATTGAAAAGAACAAAGAAAGAAGAGAAAGCGTAGAACAGATAGGGTCAACAAAAAACAAATAACAGGATGTTAGAATTAAGCATAAAATATCATGATAAGCTACCTGTAGACAGACTATATATTTTGGATTTGGTAAAAATAAAAGTGTGCATTAAATTTATGACTCATACTTTATTTTCCCCCATTAAATTTATTGCTACATTTAAAGCAAACAATACAGTTACATTTATCATTGGGATCTTGTACCTTTGCATGATATGTCTTGGTTGTCATTTTTTT